TTCTTTCTTCTTCTTTCTTCTTTGTTCTTCATGGAACCAAGGACTGAACTCAGGCCCTTGCGCTTGCCAGGAAAGTGCTTATTCCACTTAGCCATCTCCCCAGCCCCTACTTTTTCTTATAAAGTATCCATTGCCAGTATTTGTTACCACAACAAAAAACAGACTAATAGATCCACTACAACTATCCCTCATACAAATGAACATGTCATCATTCTTTCCCCAGAGAACAAAAATGTTCTTTAATACCATATCCACCTCTAACTCAGTTGTAATTTCCACTTTGGTATCTAACCTAAAACCAAAATCAAATTAATCATAGCTCTTACATAAAATGAAATGGAGGATTTGTTGCTAATAATAAAATCAGCTTACTAATGTTAATGTATTCATAACAATATGAGTTATACTCATTTCAGGAAGGGTTCATGAGGCTGTTTTTGGTATTTGTAATCTCTATACACTCTTTATTCCCTTGACCTTCTGCCAGTTTCTCAGGTGGTCATAGGTCTTGACCTTATGGAATGACACAAACCTTCATTTCTGAACAGTCTGATGTTTTTCTTGCTGTATTGGTGGAGCTGTCTTCATTAGCTTTTATCTCTAGACAGGTAAGTACTAAAAATGCCTGGGAAGAGCCTTATGTTTCAAATGTTCTTTATCCTCACGATCTAGCAGAAACCCTGTTTTTTCTTGATAGCTGGGACCTGTCCTTCAGCAACTATAGCAATCTACTCCTTTAATGCTGCTTAGATGGAAGAGAAAAAGGAAAAAGCAAATGCAGCAGGTGACAGGTTCAATTCCTTCCTCAAATGAACTTTTGGTACATTATTGGGTGATGGCAGTCCTTCTTTGGAAACTAAAACTTGTAGACAAACAGCATTTCAAGTTATGAAAACAAAAAATATTCGTTTCCCATGTGGTATTATTTGAGGTAATAGTGAAAAGCCATTTGACTTCTACCTCCTAATTCTCATTGGACCCCCTCATTTCTACCTGTGGGTGAAAAAGGTCTCGTATATTGAGACCTGTTCAAACATCCTATCTCTTGTGGGTAAGAGAGCAGATCCATCTCACAATCTGCCTACACTGAGGAAGGAAAAAACAAACAAACAAACAAAAAAAAAACACCCGCAAACTAGGACACATC